AGGATGGCCTTCCGCAGTGCGGGATGTGCAGAGAGAACGCAATGCCCATCTCGAAATAAACCAGGTAACACACGCTGTGCCCGTGCGTCTCTTCCTTCCCCTTCCGTCCGGCTCCGGGCCGTCGCTCACGCGCCGGGTGACTCGTCGCCGTCTCCTCGCCGCTCCAGCGTCTCCTCCGCTTCTGATCCGGCTGGGAAGCGAGTAGGCGCTTGCGATCACCCTGGAAATGTTTTCATTTCGCTTGTTGACATTGGAGGGAAAATAAGGATGGGCGTCTATTTCTTTCCGGTTTTTTAAAGCCTTCCTATTTTCACTCTTCTCTTTCCTTTTCTGACATGCTTTTCATTGGGGCGAGCCTTCACCCCGAAATAACCGCGTGCGGAAGCAGCCCTTTCCCCCTCTTCATGCTGCTGGAAGGCGCCTAGGAGCTTAGGCAGTGTGCACCCCACCATCCCAGCCTCTTGGGCACTGGGGCTGGGAGGTGCGGCTGAGGGCTGAAGTGAGAGGGGAGATGGGGATTCGGGGGCTTTAAAAGGATCCCGTGGCCAGGGGCAGGGCTAAGGCCCGGCATTTCCCAGGGATTGGAATTTGGTTCGGAGCACACTGATCAAAGGCTGTTTCATCCCACATGGGCACGAAACATACCCCTTCTACGAAGGATGTAGGCTGAGGGAAGAGGGAGGTGGAGGCGAAGTATAAATGAAAAAGCACCTTTCCCCCCCCCTCCTCTGTAAGGTAAAGAACCATAAAGTGTAAACATCACTTTGAGGAGCTCTCAGATAATCTGGCAGATGTGGTATTTAAGAAAACGAAGGAAGAATAAAACGATGTGGTGTGAAATTTCAGTTCTAATGTAAAGAATGCAATTAATGAACGCTCAGGGTCATAGGGAGTCTCCACTCTTGGCACCCCACCCTCACCTTGAAATTCTGAGAGAATCAACTCTGAAGGGAAAAATAGACAATTACAAAATTGGTAGTGATTTCTAAGTATGTTTCTATTAGGAATGCCATAAAGAAGCTTTGGGCATTGGACTAATCTTAACTATCCTTCCACTGTATGTATCCCTCTAACCCCAATTTCTATATATTTTCTTACTTTAAAACAAACTATATTTACACGTGAGGGGAAATTCAAGGGTTTCAGCTATCCACGTTGATAGTGACAGGGCCCCCAACATTGACTTCTAAGCTCAGATGTCGTACAGGAGCCCGGTGAGCTAGTGGGCTTTTTGGACCAGGCTGGAGAGATCTCTGGGCCTTGGTTTTCCTGCTCACTTTTCCTCCTCCCACTCTTCTCCCCTCCTCAGGCTTGTTATTCCTACTTTTCCTCAACTGGCTTTCCTCCCTCCTCCCCTCTGCCACCTCCCTCCTCACTCCCCCACCCCTTCTCCTCCGTTTCTCTCCCTCTCTCCATTCCTCCACCTACTCCCCGTTTCTCTCCCCCTCCCACAGCCCCCCTTCCCAGCGCCACTTATAATGGCACACAAGGGCTCCCTCTGAGGTGGACGCCCGGTACGTTTTCGTAGTCGGTCTAGCGTGAAATGATTCGGTGTAACCGGATTCTTGGGAAAGGACAGGTTACGTAAACATTTACTGATGTGGAGTAACTATACTATTTGTACTCTGATATGCAGGAAGGAAAGTGTTGATTAACACAGAAGAAAAAAAAAGCGAAATTAGCTGATTGCATGCTCATAAGTGCAAGCTGTCATTGAACTGCTTTTAAAATAGACACAGCTGGGTGTTTGTGTTGAAAAATTTCTTGTGTTTTTGCTAATACTGAAATAAGCATGATTTTGTATACCAAACATTTTCAGATCATTAAAATTTGTAATCTGTGCTGGTTTTAAACACAAAGAAAAGAAACAGAATCATTTCGATGTAAAATTTGCTGATATTATATTAACTCAATCAGGTCTGTACAAATTGTGCATTGTGCTTCCTAAAATCTGTTTGATCAATTTAATACACAAAGTGCCAAACGTGGGTATTGTTTGTTAACATTGGGCATTTTATTCAAATCCAAGCTCAGCAGCAAAGTGGAGGAGCATTCCTTGAATACAACCACCAGCCCTGACTGATGAATTTTTAATGTTTGAAGGTGTTTCTTAGGTCAAAGCTGAGTGTGCATTGTTTGTATAATCCTGCATGAAATTTTAGCAGGTGGAAATAAGTTTTTCTTCTGTTTACTTTCAAACAGCAAAAACTGGAGTCTGCTAATGAGAGCTGTAATAATATGATTTTATGTGCCAGGAGCTTATATTGACTGGAAAAATGTTTTGCATGCATATCAAGAATGTGTTATATTATTTTAAGGATTGCATGAATGCAAGTCTCCCAAAATAGGATATTTGTGTAGGAATACATAGATTATACTTTACTATGATCATATTAAAGATCTGGGCTCCCTAATGAAAAAGGTCATTTGCAATTTTGGGTGAAGTGAGCTTGAGTTCCTGTTAATAATTTTAATTGGACTTTGTAGTGAGATAGAGTGCCATATATAGGTGTGGGGGTAGGCTTGTTGAACAAAACATGCACTGTTTACCCAGCAGCCCACATTTGTCTCAGCAATGGCTTCTTTTTAGAACTGCTACTAGATGAAATGGAGGGGGAGGGGGTTCTTGGACAGAGTATTTTGCAAGTTGAAAGTCCCTGGATGAAGCTTTGTCTATCTTACTGAACAATTTGGGTGCAAACTGGATTTGAGGGACTGCCCATGTCCACTTCGGGCTTCTTTCCTAAACACACGAAGCCCTGACTTTGTATTTCCACCTCACTCAGTCAGGGTGATTGTTGTCAAAAGACAAAGGGCACCTAGTGGTCTCAGATCTGAAACAAATTCTATATCATTCTAATATTTTTTCATCAGCAGCTTAATTTTGAGCTCACACACATACATCTACAAATGCACCTTGTTAACGAATCAAAGCATAAGTCAGAGCAAATGTAATTTTCTGGTATATATAGTGGTGAACTTTTCCTTCTCTGGCTACCGCCTCCCTCCACCCCACCAAAAGGAAGGACAGACTCAGTGAGCAGTTCCAACGGAAGAATTGCTTGGGAAATGAGTTAGATTATTCCGTTTCTAGTTGTAATGAATAACCAAGGCTCCACAGCCTATTGCATCCCAGTAGGGAGCAGCGCGTTACTTTTTCTATTTGGTGGTGATGCATTGTCTTCCTTGGGGCCTATTTCCAGCTTTCCGTACTTCCCTTCTTTTTTCCTTGTTACCTGCTTGTTAAAGGAGGGCAAGCCATTCCTACCTAAAACCCACCCTGCACTCAGCTCCCTGGATAGGGTATCCCTGAAGGGGAGCCCAGCGTCCAGCTCTAGCTAAAGCTCTCTTCCTGCAGATGCTCAGGGAGTCCCTGACCCGGTGACGTGTGGGAGCGAGTGGAACCCATGCAGAGGCACCCAGGTATTTCCAGAGATCCTGTAACAAGAAAGGTCGCCCCCATTTGAGCCAACATCTCTGTAATCCCTTCCTAACAGCAGGTAATGGTGCTAACATTTAGTGATTATAAATTACTCTTTAGCGTGTTGTATCCTTGTTCTGTGGGTTTTGGTTACAGGTTATAAGATTAGGTTTGCGAGAACAGTAGTGAACTAAACTTCTCAGTAAGAGGTCTTCACACCAGGGAAGTGTTACTTTTCTGCAGCAGCTCTGCCTTATCACTCATTAGGGAGCTGCAGGTTGTCAGGCGGCTGCACTCTGCACGCGCGCACCCTCAACATCCCCGGGGGCGCGCAT